TTATTGCTCTTCAATAGCATCCTCCCTCTCCCTCTTTCTCCCCCGTTCATCCTGCTTTCCTCTCAGCCACTCTTCCCCTCTCGTATATTTCCCGTGCCTCTCCACACCCTGTCTTCCCCTTCGCAATTTATGAATCCCTCTCTCTCCTCTCTCCTCTCTCCTCTCTCCATCCTCATGTCTCTAAATCTGTCATCCATTCTTTATTCACTCTATTTCCTCTCCTCCCTCAACAATTCCATGTTCTCCTCATCCTTCTTTTTTCTCCCTCTCTAGCTTCCTACATCAGTTAAATCCTCTTTATTCTCGGTTTTGTTTTTCAGTTCATCCCTCCCCTTTACACGTATCACTTCAGATCCAGTGTAATTGTTTTAAAAATGAATAAACATCAACTATACGGCTTCACAGCAGTTACACTGAGATGTTTTTTACTCGTGTGATGATCACTCAGGAAGGAAGATTCAAATATTTGAAGGAACTTTATATTTTTGATTTGATTCACGACACTTCAATGGCTCAGGGATTCGGTATATCACAAGAGCGCCGGGGGACAAAATGGATTAGTTTTACCACGGAGCAATTATAATAGTGAAAACAAAAGCATCTCCCTTTGCACTGAGCTAATGTTTCTCCTCGTCCCTTTCTCCCTTTCTTCTTCCTTGTTTATGTCCCCTCTGCCATTTCCTACTCTATTTCCTGCCTTCTTTTTTCTTCTCTTTGATGTTCAGTCCTCCCAGGTGGAAGAACATTTAATCAAGAACCTCATTGTTCTTAAAGAGTAACTAACCAGCCAATTACAATCTTGTTTTTGCTGACCTCCAGTGGTTTGGTTTCTCTGCCATAAGCTCGTAAATAAAATAAAAAGTAGTAAAGTGACTTTTTATCCGGTTTTAAGCCACATGTTTATGATACTGTTGAGCGAGCAAGACACCTCCACTTACTCTATGTCTGTATGTTTTGCTTTATAAAGTGATAAAAAGATACATAAACATTTGTGCCGTGATAAATGATGCATCCAAATTCCCGCTGTAAAAACCTTCAATTTCAATCGACAAATAAATAAAAAAAGAATCTTGAAACAAGCTTTATCCAACTTTCAGATTTCTGTAACTTTGTCTATTTGTGTTTGTAGATTTATACTTAACTTGCTTAAGGTTAGCATTAGAAAAGGCCTGAATAAAAAAATACATGTTTTCTTAATGTCAGTAATCAACTGGGGAAGTTTCAATATGTTATCCATATTCACCTCTAGTTTATTCCAACATGTAGTACAAACATATCCACATCTCTCAAAAATGTTTCTCTTACTCGAAGCAAGTAATCTCTCCACATATCACATTCTATCCCTAAAAACATGGCAAAAAAAGTATTTTTGATAACAGTAGTACTGCATTATTGAGAGATACAAAGATATATCGAAAATACCCACTGCAAAAACCTTTAACTCTATATGTCAAGGATTTTTACTCCAACTGTCTGTTATGAAAATAATTGGCAAAATAGCACACATTTATTGAGATTGCACATTATTTGCATTCTTTACAAAACTTGTAATACGAAAAATAATTGTCTCAATGGTAATTATGAATTGGGGAAGTGTACTGAAGGTCTAACATAAGTAAAGGATCTGAATACTTTGAACACTAGCCTCCTCTCTTTCTCTAATCCTCTCTTATCGCTCCATTCCTGCTGTACACTCCCCCTCCCCTCCCCATCCTGTAATAGATGGCCGATGTTGTTCGGTGTGACGGAGTCATTCTGCTGCCAGTCCATCTACCTACTGGTCAGATCTATAGGACAGCAGCTTAACACTATAAATCAACACACACACACACACCTGCAGCCCCCGATGGGTGTCTGCTCCCCCTCCAATCTGACGATTGATGCGCACCTTGTCGCTAAACAGCCCAGATAATTAAACCCCTCGCTTCCCTCCCCTGTGTGCGTAGGTGTGTGTGTGAAAGCCCTGCTGTTGCAGTGTAGCACAGGCATACACACATCCACTCTGTCTTCCTCTCACACACACACCATTACACTACAAACGCACACTTTCTTTCTGTCGTTGCACAAACACACAATCTCTCTTTCTCTTTACGCACACTCACAGAGATAAAAAAAGAGGGAGGAATGGAGGGAGAGAAAGCACCTGCTGGGCTGTAAAGCACTCAGACAAACGGCGTCTGTGTGTGAGAAGACTTGAACAAATGGGAAAATTATACAGTGGAACCAAAACGGCACCCTTTCACCCAAAGGTGCTTCACGTCGACCGGCTCAATGGGATTCTTGGAGCATAATGTCACAGCTTTGTTATTTATATAACCACGGTGTGAGACTAAGTTTGTACACATGCATTCAAACTTGACTCTTGTTAACGGTCTATAGGGTTTTGGTTATAGGTGGAGCATGATTAAGCAGATTAGTTTATGTGAAAGCATGGATAGATTACTGAACAGGCCGATCAGACACTTTTTGAAGGGACAGTAAACATGTCTTAGTGCAGTGGTTTTTAACTTCCAAACTAGTAACAGACAGGATATGAACTCTTCATGATATAGTGGACATTGTTACAATATAATGCAGTTTTCATACATTTGAAGGGTCAATGTTGAGGACACTTTGGTCACAGTTCTCATTAATATAATCAACAACTATTTAAAGGGGACCTATCATGCAAAATGTACTTTTTGATGTATTTTATACATAAACATGTGTCCCCGGTGTGTCGGGGAACTCACGCAGCATCAGAAAATAAAACCCTCTCTCTTTTCCTCCGTACCCAAATCTCTAAAAACGGGGGCACAACGGAGCTGATCCAGATTTGCGTCCGATATGACGTAATATCGGAAATGTGGACCCACGGTCCAATCAGAAACGTTGCTATCAGAAACAATGCCCGACTGTTTTGGACGTAATATGGTCGGTGCATGTTTACATTAGCATCGCTAACACTCAGCTAACCTGTACTGGAGAGCATGTGTGTGAAGAACAGGAAATAAAAAGGAACTCACCTTGTGGTATAACCGGCAAGAGAGAAAGCCTTTGAGCTCCATACTGTTTCAGAGACAATCCTTGATAATCCATGATATGGCGTTTCACCACGGCAGCATTTAGTTTAGACAGTAGCTGCCGGGTCCCGCATGAGCTCAGACCCCTCCTTTTTTATCAATGTTATACCCAAAATCAGCACTTTTGAAACAGGAAGTGAAATAGAGGGATATGAGGCATGGCTAGAATGGGTGATCTGTTTGGTTTTTTGAGCAAAACATTTCATAGACATGTTTTTTATATATTTGTATATATCTGAGACCTATGTTATTGCCTAAAAATAACATGATAGGTGACCTTTAAGCTATTTTTAACAATGTTTTAGTTATTTGTAGGTCATTCTTGCTATTACATTTAAACTGTTGTCTCATTCGGCTACTTTTGGTAATTTCAGATGTTAAACCATTATGTTTAGCTAACGCATTATTCCATCTGGCTAGCTCTTAATTTTAAGCTATCAATTTAACATTTAAAGGGTCAATGTTGAGGACACTTTGATCACATTTTAAATCCTATGAACTCGATTTAGAATGTAACATTAGGTCGGAGGTTTTTAACCATCAATCCATTACTTTCAGAACTATTTCAGAAATGTAGCTTTTATGTTTAAGTAGCTATCCAGCTTGCTTTTACTTTTTAGCTATGCAATTATTTAACAATGTATTACTTTAAGGTATTTGTATGTTGTTTGTAGGTTATTCTAGCTGTATTAGCTAACAACTTTTACAGTTTACTCATTAGACTACTTTTTCAGATAGTAAGCCGTGATGTTCAGCTAACTATTTCTGCCATCTGGCTAGCTCTTACCTTTTAGCTATCAAATTAACATTTAAAACATTATTTAGCAAATTCAACTATTTAGCTATTTCAATATATAACTTATTAGAGCCTATTACTTTTACTCAGTTAACTATTTCAACCATTTCTTAATTACTTTTATTTTTATAAACCATTTAGCCAATACTTTGAGGGAGGCTTCAATGTCTATAATCCCTTTCTTTTAGTGTTTTTAAAAAATATATATAGTTAAGCTACCTCCAAATGCTACTGTACTTATTTTGGGGATTCAGTCTTAGTTTAAATGTAATGAAACAACTACACAAAAGCAAAATGGCTTAAAGGTAGGGTAGGTAGTTCACTTCAGAAACCACCTGTCAGCCTTCCATCTCGTGCACACACTTATCTCCTGCCCTCATTGGTCATGTGCGCGTTCGTGTGTGTTGCAGGAGGGGCTCTGTAAGGAAGTCTGAAGGAAGGGGCAGATTTTTTCCGGTTGTGTACTTTCAAATTCTAGCGCACTCGAGCTGGTTTTCTCCATACTCCATTCTTACCTCACCTACCTTTAAGAGACAACTTAACATTGTAGTTTGTCTCCCTCAGGGTGAGTGTCTAGCTCCTATGTGTACAATTGGCATAGGCTCATTATAAATCCCAAATAAGAACACTAAAAAAAAAACGTGAACTCAAGAAAAACATATTTCCTAATTTTCCAGTTAACTTCGGCTGTATTTATCCTGCACCACAAACATCTCCGGCTTATCGCTCCAGCTGCTCTCCCCTTGAGGGAATGCCTCTCACCCATGAAACCCGGCTTTTAGCGCACTCATGTTTCTTCATACGAACACATGCAGTTTGATGAATGAATAATGAGCAGCCTATGGCCTCACGGTGACTTCAAGGACCAAAACAGACGAATCAAAGTGATAAAGACTTGATTTCCCAGCTAAATCCAGCTCTCGGCTTCTCACTAATGCACAGACACGTATGCCATTAGACGACACACGAGCCCTTTATCACTCGTGCGTAAAAACGGTCTGTGCCATCGGTCTCTCACCTCTCACATACACCCACGGACCAGGAGAATAACAACTCTCTCTGTATTCCTCTCTCACGTACACAAGTAGACATTAAGTAAACTCATCACATGTGCGTAAAATCGGACCGTGACATCCTCTTACCCGGCGTTTTTGGAGTAACTAATCCTGAATCCAAGCGGCAGAATCTTGACCAGTCGTTGCCGAAATAATCCCACCTCTGGTTCTCTCCTCGAGTGTCTTCTTTTAAATAAAAGGATAGAGGTTGTTTGTTATTCTCTCTGCCAAAAAAAACGAGATTAACAGCCTGAAAGAGGAAAGTCTCGCTTCTTGCGAAAATAATACAATCCCTCTCTACTCCAAGTCCGCTCCAATTAACTGCAGCTACGCATCTTTCCTCCTGTCTTGTGTCTCTGTTTCGGTCGGGGTGTAAAACAGTAGGTAGACCTCTGCGTTCAGCCTGTCTCTGTCCGGGCACTGGTGTGGAAGAGCCGCTCTACTTTGCGCAGCCAAAAATAACTTCCAATCTCCAAACTGGAATCCCGCGAAGCACTTGCGCTATAACAGTCCTTATTACATTATTATAATGATTTCAAATGGAGATAGTTGGGTCAATTACGAGTTTTTGCTCATTCTTGGAGTACTTTATGGTACTTTATGCCCTTGTTGTATTCTAACATTTATTTATTGCAGAGTGTGAAGACGTAATGTTGTATTTGTAAAGATACATTTATGTATCATTATTTGTTTTTACTTTATTATACGTTTTATTAAAGGGTTATTTTTGGTTTGAGGGCCAAATTGGCAAATAGATCGACCTTAATGATGAGATAATCGATTAACCCACTTTGCAGGTTGGGGTCGTTAATATATTGATTAATCGATTAACCAATCAAGAGGAGATGTTAGAGAAGCTGCAGTGCAGGGTTTCCCCTTTTTTTCGTCTTAAAATCCAACACCAAGTCCAAGTGTTATGGTTGCAAATGTCAATTAAGAAATTGATTACAGCCGGCAGTCCATATCCAGATATAAATCGAAGATATGAAATGAAAAGCTTGAGGTCTTTTCTGCTCTTTTTTGTCCTAATCCATCCGATAAGACATTTTTGGAAATAAGATACCACGCGTGTTCTCCATTTCTCTCCTTTACTTTTCTCCTTCTCTGTCCAAATACACGTCCCTTCCAGGTCAGAGTGCTTTACCCTCCTGGATCCGATCCCGAACTGCACTTCTGTGCCAAAATCACTCACAGAAAGTCCACTTGGAATGACTTTTGGAAATCCTTCAGCGAAGGAGCAGCGGCGGAAGGAAAAGCGCGAAGCCTTCAGATGCTTCTTATGGTGCTCCTCCACAGCGAGTGGGAGAGAAGGGGGGGGAGGAGGGAGAGAAGCTGGGTGCACTCGCTCTCAGCAAAATAATAGACAGAACAGAAGGAGAGATGTGGAGGAAATAGTCCGTTACTGTGATTAAAACCAGAAAAGAGAAACCCTACTTTTGGCTCGTTAGCCGAAATAACTGGAAAGAAAAGGGGAGTGAAATATCTTTAGTCTAGAAATAACAACGTCTCTTTACTGGTTTCCCTCAGATACTTCACCACCTGCCCGGGGAAGGACAGATAAGAGACATCCAATCTGCCACATTTTGCGGAGGCTTTTATCCAAAGTGCCTTAAGAGAGTCCACCAGAGAGCGCGGAGCAGCCAGGATATGAGAGAGAGAGAGAGAGAGAGAGAGAGAGAGAGAGAGAGAGAGAGAGAGAGAGAGAGAGAGAGAGAGG